GGACACAACCGTTTACTTCAGAGCTCAACCACGTTGGTGTCGTTGTGTCGTGTGTGGGGTTTGCGCGTGTGTATTTATACTTCAGATGTGTGAGGCATAGATGCGCTAACACCGAGACGCAGGTGTGAGGATAATCCAAGATAAATATTCGTGCGAATGAGGGGGAGTTGAGGATCCGCGCGGCTGGCGACATGCTGCGAAAAGGGGAACCCTGTGTCGGAGGTGGAGTGACCGGATTAGGGGGTGTGCATAAACACGAGTTACAACAACATCCTGACGCATGCGTGGTGGGTCGGTGCTGCTCATGAATTGAAACGTCCGCGGACATGTTCCGGTGTTGAACGCGTGGAAGAGGTTGCAGTCTGTTCGACTGGTTAGAAAGGGAAACGATTCCTTCAACCATCAACATCATTTGAATTGAGTACTCCGCAGTAAATTTGTGGAACTAATTTGTTGTTAGAACAATGCAATGCTGCTGGAAAAAATTGCCAACGCCTAATAGTAGTCACCCAGATTCTACGGTTAGCTGCTTCGATTAGTGCTACCGGGGGATCATATGTGAAATGGCACCTATCTGTTGGTCGCAGAGGAACCTCGGGGCAACACTGGACAGTCCGTCGCGAATCGACGAGACTGCAGTGTCGTAGGGGTGTGTTTTGGCCCTAGTTTACGTATAGATGCACCTGCTGAAGGAATCGATCGCGATTTAGTTAAAAACGTCGCCTTGCTGATGCGTAGTGGTGCTGCGGATTGTGTCAGGCTATCGACGTGTACACGTACGAGGTAGCGCCATTAAACTCTATCGTTGAACCTAATGATGTGTTGGTTGGCTCGTTGGTGACTTAGGTAGACAGCAAGCTCGTCGTTTTGCACAGTGATGACGTGTGTTGAACGATGGTGCTCACTTTGTTACATTCCGATGATAAATTGAAGATATACTTGTTGATTCATTATTATTATTAAATCTGGATCGAAGTATTGCAATGTAAATAACGTTTTCGAAATCTAGTTCCGATCTTTTAATGATCATTATTTGGGCTGGAGTCTTGCCCTAGCAACGCCGGGTGCTTATTACGCCTAAGCCAATGAGATTAATGCGCGGTCAATTTGAAAACATGAATTTGTGTGCACGCCTGGTTGCATTAAACCGTATCTTGAATTTAAGGATTTTCTGCTTAAAATGATCGCGTGCTTTCCCAACCTAACAGTCTGATCTTCGATGACTTCAAAAGCCGCCGCAATATTTGATATTTGGCTCTCAGTTGTGTGATTAATTTCAGTCAATTTCATGCTCTCCTTGTCCCTACGAAAATACCGGACTCGGCGCTGCAAAAATATGTTGTTTTTTCTTCCTGCCGACTAAATTAAGTCTTACACCACTTTTATTCACTATGTTAATCTATCTTTGTAGCGTGAATAGGCTAGCACATGATTTTACAAAGTACTTCATCGTGTTAGAATTTTAAATATCTGTGGCGTCTTTCGGCACTCGTTTAGCCAGTAAACTCAGAAAACGAACGATTGTGCTTGTGGCTGCAGTCTGACGGTGGTTATCCCGACTCATATTACAACCTCTGAGTTCGTGTAAAATCCACCAATCACGTGCGCCGAAGTGACGTCCAATAAGCGCTAAGGCTGATTTGTCCCGTGTACAGACCACCGCCAAGACGTTTCTACCTGCGTCTTTTCTTTACTTTTATGTGTTGTGTGTGTATGTGTGTTGCGTGTTATTGCCGTTTTCCAAATCACCTCGTTTCTCTGGCCATGCCTCGTTTGTAGGACAAATTAGCAGCTGTTCGTTTTTCGTCGTGTCGTGGTGATTCAGCAATCCGCGGATGTTCACCAGTTCGTTCGCTGTTATTTGCCTTGTTACCACCGCGTGTCTACGCGCGGGGGTTGTGTGGTTATGCCTACAATTAATTATGCTACACGCGCTTCTCTCGACACTCGTGCCATCATCTTGGGCAAACGGGCCATCTTAATCATTTATTACACACACTCTCCCTTACTTAATGACTATAAAGTAGCGACTAACTGTGTTGGCGGTTATTTGAACACGGCTCACAGCTGAAACAATTGATGACCCTGTTGATGAGGGCACGGCTGGTTATATTGGCTCGTTCTTCGGAGAGTGGGGTGGAGAGCTAATTCCCTACCTCTCCCTTGAATTCAGCAGGAAGTTCTTTGGACGTAGACGGAGGATGGCTTGCACAATTCCTTTCGCTTGGTCTTGGCACCTCCGTCTCAATTGTGTTGGTCGTGGCTCTAGTGCTGCTCTTCTGCGTGGGCTGCATCATCTGCGCGTGCTGCCACCGTGGTCGATCAAGCACCAACGGCTTCAACGGAGGCCGCGCCACGGGGACGTCTGGTGGCGGCGGCGGCGTCGACTACGGCGGGGCTGGAACCGACATCTCCGTGGCCGTCAACGGAAGCGGACACAAGCCTCCGGACAGCTTCCGCGCCATGATGCCTCCCTCGCAGCACCAGCAGCTCGTGCTGCCTCCGGCCAAGTCGGTAGGGGACCTGTACCCTCCACACCAACAACCGCCCAACTCACCCTTGGTCCAGAGTCGTCAGTACCCAACGCCACCGCCTTCAACCGCGTGGAACATGCAGTCCGGCTGCTGTCCCACCCAATGGTATCCCACGCAGCATCCACACCAACTTCAAGGTCATCTTCCCGCTTTAGCATCCGGTTAGTTCAAGTTCAGCATGATTCTCGACCCCCAGACCAACAGTTGTGGTTGTGGCTCAGCGGTCGTTCTGGTCGCGAGATTTGCGGGTGAAATTTGCGCTGTCAAGGCCCCTGGACAGGTCACATGACTGCATTCAGCCACGTGGAAAAAGTGTTTGGGGCAGACTTTGTCAGCACGCGGTCGGTCACGTGTTTCTCACGTGACATCTGCACAACCCCAATCTGAAAGGGCTTGTTTTGCCCTGGGTTCGCCCGTTTCATTTAACCGTCTCAGATGCTGGTACGAGGTTGTGTGCATGACACCCAATACCCCGGTGGGACACCCCTGCATCCTCGTGTGACTCACGTGGCTAAATCTAGGGCACAGGCCTCTGCCACACAGGCACACCCACTCCGAATAAACAATATCGCATGTCGTTGTTTATTGATTGTTTATCAAGTGGCCTTCCCGACTGTTTTGAATTAGCGGATTTTCACCAATCAAAAGACTGAATTCTTGCCAATCGCTGTCCTCCAATAACGTTTTCGATTCCCATTTTCTCAAGCAGGGGATCATTTGTAGGTAATTCCAATGTGTCCTAGTCTTTCACAATTGCTGATTGAGTCTCCCTCTTCATGTTTAAGCAGATCCTTCAATCATGTCTACCACTGACGCGTGTTGTTACCCAGCTGTCGCGACCACGAATCCTCCCACAAATGTTCCAACATCCCTGCAACAGCAACAGCAACATCAGCAACACCTCATGCAGTCAACCCGCTATCTCTACCAACATCCTGAAGATCCCGTAAGAGCCGATGGAGGTATCGTTTACCTGGGCGAAATCGGTGGTGGTGGATCTGGAAGCGGAGGTTCTCGGCTCGCAGCTGGGTCCCGTCGTCCACGAAGGCGTTCCTCTCGCGCTCTCGACACTCAGTCGTCTTCCAGTGTTGGTGGAGGACCATCAACTCGCGACGCCCAATCAGCTGAGGGCGCCCCTCGCACAACCAGTAACAGCTCTCTTTCAGTTGGCCACCCCTCGTGGTCATCGAGTCGTGGCGCTACTGCAAATAACCACGGTGCTGGCAATAACGCCACTCGACACCATCGCCACCGACGCCGTCGTCACGGCGGTAATAAACAATCCCACCACCGCCACCAACAGCACACAGAAACCAGCGAGAAGATTGCTTTTCCGGTTGAACTATAGCGCTTAAATTAGTCAGGGTAACACCAAACTCCCCTTTGCATTTCGCACTTTTAATCATACAATTACAACACCAATAACTTCCTCTGTTTACGTGTGTCGTTTTCAAATCTTGCCGAATCCCTTTTCTGGTTTCGATTAACACTGTTATGACTATTAATAAATGTCTTTTCCTAAGTACCTTTCCATTTTCTGCTTTCCAAATGTGTGCGCGTGTGTGTGATTGAAATCAGATGAGCATAACGGATAATGGATAGATTAGTAAAAACGTATTTTCTCCTTCATAGGGCTACCTTTGCCATGAAACCTGCTCCCCCGGTTAATACTGCGGGTTTCGCAATACTACTTATTAGCCTACTTACTACACTTGAGTGTGGTAGTGCTGCAAGGGCATTGCCGAGGTCTGTGGAGTTTCAGAGCCACAACAGGACCCAGATCGATGGAAGTGTTTCGTCGACTGCGGAATTCCCCGATCTTCACAGTGGTGCCTCCTTCGCGCGTCGACGAAGTGAGCAAGTCACAATTTATGCCCTTCTCAACTATAAACCCTTGAACCAATCAAAATTGGGATTCGCGCCAATTTAATCAATACGTCACCATGGCGATTGCAAACAATAATTTTAAATACGTGTCACTTTTGTGGAATTAAGTCATGTCGAACGGTAGAGGAAATCAATAGATTGTCAATGAATTGTCAAAAATTCGTGAGATATTTTTGCTGGAAAACTTTGTAAGCGTGACATGCAAGAAATAATGAAAAATCGCCTTTTTAATTGGACTTCTTTTGTTTCTTGTGAGCGCCAACTTCGAATGGCAGTACAGCAAAATGTACAGGACGTAATTTTAAGTAATCTACGAACATGCAATTAGTTGGTAGGGCATAAATGTGCCTCATGACGCAGAAGTTAACGAACGCAAAATTTCACCAGCTATCAAATTTCTCCGTTGGTGGTCCACGCAGTTGGCGTTTCGAATTTTGCAAGATTATCAACAAGACTGATTGTATCAGCAATTTCCTTCGAAACTTTATTAAAATCACGATCAGCGATGTTCAGTGGACTTGCGAACATAATCGCCGAAACCTCGAGCACACATTATCTTGGAATCTAGTTGGATGAGCACGTTTCAACACTGGATTCTGTCAACTTATCGCGAATTGGCGTGTTATCGCTAGGATTGCCAGATGAAGCACACGTGTCTGACAATTTCACCAAGAATTTTCGTTTACATAAACGCCCTTTGTTAAAATGAACAATTTACCAAGTTTTGAATTTTCGCTTTGGTAAAGAAACTGCCAAGTATTAACTATTTGTCTTGCAAAAACCTTCTGGCATTTTAGACATTTTCCCAATTCAGCCCGCGTTGCTTCTTTTTTTTGTAGCTGTGAAACCTCCAACTTACAATGTCGTGAGTTTTTGCGTGTTAATGCTTCCTGTTTTTGCAATCTTGTCATCCATCTTTTCTTAGATTCCGCTTTTAACAAAAATTTATCCTGTCTGGTTGCGAGTGGATTTTGGCAAGATTGCGAAGCTGGTTGATAATTACACGTGCTAAGGTGTTCTGCTACTCTCTCCGTGATTCTGGAGAAATCTGAGCTTCCTCGTTCGAAGTACAACTTCCTCAAAATTTTAATCTCTGCCTACGCTGTTTATTTTGTCATAAAAACCAATTTAGCACCATTTCAAAACCAAGAAAATTCATACATATTTCTATCTTTTAAGCCACTAGATGATCTGATTAGAAAGGGTAATGAGTGGATCTACCGCGATTCCCCTCTCAACGTAATACCGATAAGTCGAGCACCGCCGCCAACATTTGGGCAGGTCACGCCACGTCCTCGTGTGTGGCACCGTCGCGAAGCTTTCTACGCCATTAAAACAAACCTCAACTTCGTCTTCCACGGTCCGTCAAACTACATCCTTCAGGTGAGCCCGATAAACCAACCCATTAACCACCTAGGCTCGAATCCCGATAGAATCGATTTTAAAACATATCGATTTGATTAAGATTCATTACAAATGATGTAGCATGTTCTATGACATGCTCAAAATTTTAGTCTACAGACACTGAAAATATTTAAGCGCCAGAAAATGTTGTTCGCGGGAGTTTGAAAAGATTACGAAAATTAATTAGGCGCACGAGGTGCAGAGGCTGTAAGTCGGACAGGAAAGGCTTTACATCTTAGTGCCGAGGTGCAAAAAACGAAGACACCAATTCAAGGGGATAAGAGGACATGGCACTTTGATGAGAAGAATGGCCGCTAATGTGGCTGG